ATACGATGGACTATCTGTGCTCTGCCTATCACGGGTATCGAAACCCGGTTTCTAGCGTTGTAAGTCCGCAAATATGCCGCTGTGCCACTGGGGGAGGGGGGGCGTATCGTCATGACGGAAGTTTGCAAAACGAACAAATAAATCGTCTCCCCTGGAGTGTCTCCATTAAGTACAAGACAAGTATGAAAAATGAGTGTTGAGTTATATATCGGTTACCGTTTCCAACGTACAGTCACAATTAGTGTCTCCATTAAGTACAAGACAAGTATGAAAAATGAGTGTTGAGTTATATATCGGTTACCGTTTCTAACGCACAGTCACAATTAGTGTCTCCATTAAGTACAAGAACTCAATTAGTAAGTAAAATGCTCTGATAAAATTTATGATAAAAATTAAAAACACTGTGTGAAAAGCAAGATATAAATAAACCTGTAATGTCTTTACGAATTAAACTTTTTTTTAAACAATATCAAAGCTAAGCCTGATACTTATTGCCAAACAAATGTGGAAATAAAAAGTCACTCGAATAATGATGTAATTGTTACTACTTTTAATTTAGTGAGAGAAAATAAACAGTCTACCAATGTAATATTCTTTATAGCTGTTTAACACAGTCTGAAAATAAACAGCGTAAGAGTAAATTATTCTGTACCATTATGTTTAGAACTAATATTTATATAATATTAAACTGTAATGTTTTAAAAATTCTATTGTATAAAAATTAAAAAGAGATGTAATCAGTAGTGTTGTCAATTTTGTAAATTTCCCAGGGTTATCTATTGTATCGCCTCCTACCCCCCCCCCCCCCCAGCACTAAATATTGGGGTTTCTATACTCGCGTGAGGAACATCGTGGATAGTTCATTGTGGTTTTGTTTTATTCAGCCAACTGGCATAAGAATGCTAGAAACACTATCTGTAAAATCACCAATTGTGACTGTGCGCTGGAAACGGTAACCGATATATAACTCAACACTCATTTTTCATACTTAGGTAAAATATTTTAAGTTCAATTAACGTGAATTTCTTTTTAAACTTTTTCTTTTCATACAATTTTGTAATTTTTAAAATGATGCTAAAAGCGTCCCATGAGAGTGATATTTTACTGTTATGCAATGTGATGTAAAATATTAGATAAACATATGAAGAGTACGTTCACGACACTTTCTATTGGTCCATACACTCATGATGAACATGATACTATCATTTGACAGAGTGTTGTCGTGACAGCACCCCTTTTGGTAGCCTGATCACAGCGTCTCCTGGCGATTTATGGACAACACACAAAGATAAAAGAACTAAAAACGGACACCTTATTAGTTGTTATATATATTTATTTTAAATAAGAGTTTTTGCTTTGGTAATTTACAAGCAATCGTCTCATTTAGTATAGTATGTGATAATGATGTTTTAAAATAAAAATTCCTCAAAATTTGAAACTCGGTCAGAACTTCTAAATTAGAGATGGCTATTTCTGAACCTTGAGACTTCCGACTCGGCCGTTTAGTCCATGTGATGCCAAGAATGACATTCAGATTGAAAATACCAATTACCAAACAACATAGAATACGTGAGTTTATCTATAAATAAGTAGTAGTTTTTTTTATTTATTTTGATAACTTACCATAAATAATTTCATTACACACATAAAATAATGATGATGTTTTATCATTGACATTTCAAGTCTTTTTTATTTGTTTTTTCATAAAAAAGTCATAAAACAAACATTTTACAATGTTAGACTGCCAAAAAGAAACAAAAAAAAATACAGAATTTGCCAAGGTGCAGAAGACATTATTTAGAGTTAGCATAGCGACGTGACTTGTACTTTGTACTAGAAACATTTCTGTTTGTATGATATAAAGAAGTATTACATACTCTAACCCAGTTGATCCAATCTTTTACATACAGTGGGCCGGACTGTAGAGGATTGAACATTAGAGGGCATAACGTGTTAATTATATGAATTGTTGAAACAGGGGTCTTCTGTCTGGGAGGATGTTGGTTTTAATGCATAAGTATGAAACTGATATGTGCGCGCGGACGTGATAACGTCATTCGTGTAGTCACTTGCGGCCTGCGATTGGTTGGATATCTCAAATCCATGATCAATACTGGTTTTGATCAACTGTGGGCACGAAAGCAGACCTTTCCCATCCCAAAACTGAAACAAACCAAATAACAGAGAAGTGCGTATTGTACCGGTTGATAAACAGAACATCTAAATACACATTTTTAGTACAACACCTTACCAACCACCCTTAAAATTTGTAATACAACATCCTGTAAAACTAGCAAATAATTTACTGTTATTAATTCTAATTGCAATGTGTTTAATATCAATAATAAAACAAAACATAATCTACACAAATCATTTCAACGTTTAACCCTTTCATTTATTGTCTTTAGTAAATGATTGCCGTAGAATAGATAAGCATATGGAAAGAGTCATGAACCAATTTCCTTGAACAAAATAGCTCAAAGATTAATTCCGTATGGAAAGAGTCATGAACCAATTTCCTTGAACAAAATAGCTCAAAGATTAATTCCGTATGGAAAGAGTCATGAACCAATTTCTTGGTTAATGCTTACTTTATACACCAGGACACAACAATGAATAAATCTAATATGACAGATTTGTGTGTGTTTGGTACGTTGGCCCATATCTTAAAGTATACAGTATTGTTAGCTTTGGTATATAAACGTATGAAAAGTGGGATTGTTCAAAAACGCCTTCTACAACTGGCCTGAAAAAAAAACAACATTAAGCAGTTTGTCGAGTTTCAGATTCTTTTGTCATATGATTTAACTATTAGTTTCTATTGGAGATCGTAAAATTCGAGAATATAGAAAAGGTTTTCTGCAGCTAAGTAAACTCGAATTTCATAGCTAGTTTTCACTAGGAAGCTTGGATATTTTAACTTAAAATTTATTTAAAAGGTAATTTACGAATATCAGACACTTTAAATTATTAACCCTGTTTTTACTCTTCTTTTAGCAGCACTTGGTCTAATTTTGACCCTATTATTTTTTGTTTTCGGTTGTACTTAGACGTGTGTGAATATGTGTGTGTGTGTGTGTGTATATATATATATGTATGTAAATAAACACACACTACTTTTCTTTATCCTACGAATTCATCATAATCTCGAAATTACAACAATGTTTTCTTTTGTCTCTAAAGAACACTTGGAAGTACCGCTTGGCATCGCATGCCCATTACTTTCTTCTTTCTGTTTCACAGAGTTTTGGATAGATTTTTGATTCTTTGGTTGTGGAAGAATAAATCGTTCTAGCTTGGTAAAGGGAACTTCAAATATCAGATGAAGAAAAGAGGCCACGCCCATTGACAACACAAGATAGGTGAGGAATCTGCAGACCTAGAGAAAAATAAAATATACACCAATAAGATTTTATTCGACTATATTTTTCAACATATTATCTTAAATTGATTTGCCAACTCCTTAAGCGGTAAGTCAGGAGCCTTTTAACACTGAAGAAACGGGTTTCGATACACGTTGTTGGCACAACACGTATAGTCCATTGTGAAGATTAGCGCCTAAAAACAAACAAATAAACAGATCTGATTCTATATAACCCTGATTAAAGTGGAAATTAACCAAACTTTCTGTTGAAAAATACCTTACGAAATTTTGAAAACTGATACAAATTCTATATTATATGTACATCAAAGAAGCGGTAGCACTGCCTATTTAGGGATGGCTCAGATTATTCATCGCAATGGTATTTTAAATATCTCCTCAATAGGTCATCAGAATCTTTACAATACTATACAGTGTTTCCTTTTATAACAATATCTGTGTAATGACCGAGTTCTAAGAATGTCTGTAAATATCATAGGAAAAAAATTGAATTTCTTGTTCTTCTTTCTTTTGCTTCTTTTTATTACATGATAACTCAAAAACCAAACCAATGGTGTCAACCAATTTTACGGATGTGACATAGCTTCAAACGCAGTATCCGCTTTTATAAGTAATATTAATAACTAGTAGTAATAAAAAAACTTATAATTCTAGTGTAAACGATGTTATCATTATCCCATGAAATTAGCTTTCTTACAGAAATTTTGTGTTCCTTTGAAAAGCTTAAGTACATGGTCAAATAGGAATTACCAGCCGATAACAATTAAACAATAAATATTACAGTTGGAACCTCCTTGTATTTAGGACTTGGTTATAAATACAACCTTCCCATGTGTATTGAAACACTGCGTTAAAAAACAACAACAAGCAAACAAGTAAAGAAAAACTTTTCAAAAAAGGAAGTAAATGTAGGGATGGCTAGTATCATTCCTTGTAAAAGAATGGAAACAAAATTGTAGGAATAACAATTAACATATAGAAAATTGAGTTTAATTTATCCTGTTTTTGTCTGTTAACATTCTACTACACTGTGTGTCTGTGCTATTATGTAGGGATGATGCAAACGCCATCCCTACCATCTTGTTTGCATTCTTTTTGAAGGATTGATATTAGTCACCCATACGTTTACTTTTTTTAAGAAAACGATTTTCTTTACTTTATATCAGTAAACGGGAAAGGTTTAACAACAAGATAAACGCAGCTTGTATTCAAACATTTTATCATTAAAACAGTTACAAGTATTTAACTGTCAAGCTAAATTTCTTAAGTAACACTTGTTAATTAAAACATTTTGAAGTTCTGCGATGGTAAATAAAGAAATCTTTTAAGTGATTCATTTATCCACTTGATATCACAATATTTAGTTAACAACCAATGAGCCACATTCACAGAGTCACCCTAAATACAGTGTAAGCCAAATACCTGTTCAAAGTGGCTGAAGTACTGATTTTCCCTCACTGTACCAACCCTGACAAATATAATCAACGGATGTATCAGGTAAGCCATGTAGGTCAGCCGTCCAAGAACGATGAATGGTTTCCATGACAACAGTGCATTTACAGGACCTAGGAATCACAGTCATTAATACAAATACCATTTCATTTGAATCCTTACATTAACATCTGTCAACGATAAATGATAAATTTCTCCACTTTTGGTGTTATATATATTGTACTTTTTGTAAACTTACCTCCATATCCATACACACAAGCACACGTGATCCAAGCTAACCCTAAAGTAAACACAGTTCTGTGGATCGAAGCGTATATGATTCCAACTACAACATTTGGTTTGATTCCGTTATGCCAGTCATAAGCTCCAAACATGACAGCTGAACACGAGACAGTAGTAACGATCCAGCCAAAAACCACAACAAGCTGAAAGAAGAACGAAGTTGTTTCATAAATTATTACTATTCGTACATTAACAATTCTTAAGCTACTCATACTGGGATGAAGCCAAAAATATAACACACGAAGTTGTTTGACACATCATTGTTGTGTGCCACATTAACAATTCTTAACACACGAACGTTGATATATGACATTTTATGAGTGAAGAACGTTTGCTACAACAAATTAATTTCGTCTTCACACTTCACCCTATTATCCATTGTCTTCATTACTGTTTTGCTAGCTGTAGGGAGTTTTCAAAGTCATGATGATGAGCACGTGGTTTAATGACTAGAATTTTACTGCAAGTTAGAAACTATTTGATTGATTAACTAGTTAGCGATTATGTTAGTCGGTTTGTCTGTTACTTCAGTGCTACGAATATTGAGCTTGTGTCTCATCAAAGCATGAGAAGTATACTTTAGTACTAGAAAATTAACAAGTAAGTGACTATTTAGCGTTCTTTGTGAAGTTAGGCATATTGTGAAACCGTAAAAGGTTATAAAATATTTAGTCGAAGAAACAAAACGCATCTTGTTATTATCAACTGGACTGGACTTTGAATTATTTTATATCCAACAATTCAAACGTGAAAAAAAACAACAACAACATACATTAAGAGAAATAGGTATGACACTATGATATTTTTAATAAAAACATTAGAAACTATCAATTTAACATCACAAATATTTTCGCTCTTGTCGTATTCCGGTTCTCTACGTGTCTATGTACTTACTGGTCTCAACCTGATGTTTCTGCGTTTCAGCAACAGGTAGCCCGTGGCCAGTCCAATACAGTACGGACCAAGATGAGTGTAGGGTCGAATATGGATATAACCGCCTGTTTCTATGTTGGTTCTAAAACGTAGTAATATATGTTTAATGTCCGTTAAAAACAATAGTAAATGTTTGAAAAAGTCAGGACGGAATTGCCAGAAATATAGGTCTAAATATGTCTAAAAATGTCTGACAAAAGAATGAAATAATATTTTTATTACCTTATTATTAATAAAGCTAGAAAAAATGGAGAAAGTTTAAGGGTTTTGACATCATTAAAAAAGCAGTCTTGAAAATTAAATATTAATCCAGAAGTTGAGCACGGAGTTATTTTTTTTTCTAAGATTTGTTAAATGAATCGTTTCACAATTGAGATTTGGCGATAGTTCAACTGGTGGATTATATTTGTGTCAAGCTGAATTATATTTGGGTTTCTATTAGCGGATATAAAGAGAAAAGGCTTGCAGTGGGAATTTTTTACAGACCGACAGATGATACTGATCAAATTAAGTGAGATTAAGATTTCGGCTGTTAATGAGGTCATAATTATGGGTGATTTTAATGTTAGGCATATAGATTGAGGAATGTTAGAGTCAAACTATGAGGGAGAAAGGTTTTTGGAAACTGTTCGAGATGGCTTTCTTCACCAATTAGTCAAGGAAACTACTAGAAATAATGTTATTTGGGGTTTATTGTTAACTTCAAATACAGAAATGATCGAGTGGGTGGAAACTGGGGAACATCTGGGTGCAAGTGATCATTGCTCTATTAGATTCAATGTTTTTCTGCATACGGAGATAAAGAATAATGATATTATCTGTTGTGAATTGGATAGCTGAGTTATTTGGAGACACTGATCAGATTTGGAACATTTTTAAATATAAATTTTAAATACTCAAGGTAAACGTATTTCTTACAGAAAGAAAAGGGTAGCTACAAGTAAAAAATCAGGTTGGCTCATAAAGAGATGAAATTCGAGAAAAGCATAATAAATTTAAATTGACCAGTATGACAGAAGATTTAGAAGATTATAGAAGATCAAGAACGTTGGTGAAACAGAAAATTAGGACATCAAAAAGGATGTATAAGAAAAGTTTTGGCTAAAAATGTAAAAATTAACAGAAAGGGGTTCTTTAAATACATTAAGGATAACAAAATGTTAGGATGGAGATAAAACCTTTGAGGAATGATAAAGGAAGGCTCGTATCTGATGATTATGAGATGGCTGGGTTATTAAATTTTACTTTTTCTTTGGGTTTTACTAACAAAGATTTAAGCAGTATTCCACATCTTGATCAGTTGACAGATGGAAACAAGGTGACTGCATTAATTCTGAACTGGTTAAGAAAAAATTGGGAAGTTTAAAGAATGATAAAGCTCCTGAACCAGATAATATTTCCCCAAGGGTTTCTAATGAGGTTAAGGATTGGATGTGAGCCACTTGCTACTATTTTTTGTAAGTTCTTGAATAGTGGGCAGGTGCTAGAGGGTTTGAAGTTGGCTAATGTTACACCTCTTTTCAAGGAAGGTGATGAAAGTTGTCCCAGCAATTATAGGCCTGTTAGTCTTACATCAGTTGTGGGAAAAGTTTGGAAAGTCTTATAAAATATGCAAAATCATTTAATAAAGTTTAGAATTTTATTGGATAGTCAACATGGTTTCACTAAGGAAAATTCTTGCTTTACAAATCTTTTGACATTCTTTGAAAAGGTTACTGCTTATGTAGGTGAAGGTAAGGATGTAAGCATTTGACATGGTGCCACATAAAAGGCTTGTAAAAAATTATCTCTATATGTGTGGGAGATAAGTCACAAATGGGATAGAAGAGTGACTGGATGGAAGAAAGGGTTGTTATAAATTATTGGGTGTTCCTAGCTATGAAGAGGGTGTTACTGCTTTAGAACAGTATTTAAATCATTTAGTGAGTTTGTCGACTAAATGACACATGGGTTTTAATTATAATAAATGCAATATAATGCATGTTGGTTATCATAATTTGAATTATAAGTATAAT